GAATAATTCCACCAGAGCCAATAGAATCACTTCAGACTGGTAGGAAGGAGAGCAGCATCAGTCTTAAGAGGACACATTTGGAAAGCAATAGCACATCATCCTACAGCTCAGGCTGGGGAACACTCCCTGAAGGGCAGAAGATGACCACTCCATGCCTTGTCCAGCCATGCCTGCACTTTCTCTGCCTGCATTAGACAAGTTTCATCCGTGCACAGAGGACCAGCAAAAGTCTCCTAAGCCAAGCTCAAGAAGAATCTTATGTGAAAAACCCTTGGTCATAATTCAGTTTCTTTCTCTATGCACAGGCATGAAATGCAGGGGGCTTAAGAAGCATTTTCTGTACATGCTCACATTTTCACAGACGTGTAAAGTAACCCAAAGTCTACCGGTATTACCACAAGTTTTCAAGCAGTATCAGCAGTCACAACAGAATAAAACACAATTCAGGTGAGGAACACATGCTTAAGAAGCAACAAGAATCAATCCTGAATGGAGACAAGAAGTCACCAGTCATCTTTCATTTAAAAACCAGAAAGGGAAAGAAAATAAATTTTGTCGAAATAAGTGCTTTCTCCTGAAAACACGTGAGACTTAAGAACAATCACACATGGTTATTAGACTTAAAACTACTGGATCATCATCTATAATCTAGGTAATGATCTTCAGCAATTTGGGGTACAGGAGAAAGAAGTATCTATTCATATATCTGGCCAATTCAAAAGAAAATTTAACAACATTTTAAATAGTTGGAATTTTTAAGGGAGGAGAACTCCCTGAGGCTCATCTGCTAGGTCCAGTGACCTGCCTAGCGCTACTTAATACCTTTCCAGAGATTTAGAGAAGTTGCAGTGTTGGCTTTTACCTACATCTAGGTAGGTAATTCTCTCTAAGAGGGAGAATTCTGAAGTGCCATAGGGCTGCTGAGGTTTCTTTGTGAGGATATCTAAAAGTCCTCTGCAAGAACCTCCTTTCAACTCCTCTTCCCCACCACCTCTAAACCTATGAATGGGTGGCTCACGACACTGATATAAGAACTGTGACAATTTATGGGATGCCTATGGATAAGACCAGCCCTGGACAATGCTGCTGTGCAAATAAGATTTAACAAGAGACCATTTAGCTTCCACTTTCCTGTACAAAGAAGGCTCCCAGGAAAAGAGCAAAGCAAAACCACAGCAATCCCTGCACTGGGTCTTCTTGCCCATAATTTTGTGGAGGACATGGATGCTCCTTGTCAGTCTGAACATATCCTGTGTAACATGGGGCATTTTCAAGTCCTCACCATCACTTCTCTTCAGCAATCTTAATGGGGGATGTTGAAATATTATATTGCAATTGTTGCATTGAAGAAAAAACTAATGAAATTATTTATACTTCCAGGGAAGAAAACAATGAGATGATATTGTCTTGAATGACCTTTCCTAAGTATGGGGATATAGCATCTTACACAATAGACTCTTGGTTCATGTTTCAATTACTGACCTTTACTGCGGAGAAAATTAATGCAATTTTCATCGTAATCCACCCGTACAAATAAGATCCATACGGAAGGTTTCCACATGCTGAATCTAACTCAAATGGAAAATGTCAGCTCTTTGCTACTGGATGAATTTGACTTTAATTTGTTCGGCTGGAGTCTTTTTGAATTGTGTTCATAAAACTTTGTATATCTTCGGTACCTATTTTTGACAGAGAATTTCCTACAGTAAAGGCATTGAATTTTTACTCTTTGGTGATTTTCTTCCACTTCTGTTTTTTTTCCAATACATGAGATACTAAACATTTCTTGGAAGTTGCCAAATAACTTGGCTTAAAGCCACAGTATCATTTGATTCTTCCCTGTTACACTGCACTAGCCAAGCAGGACTACACAGGCTCACCACAGGACAAGAACTCTTTTAAAAAAATGCCAAAAAATCAACAGAAACCTCACACAGGAATTGCTGTTGATTTAGTTTTTTCTCTGATTTTCTCTTGAATCAGTTACCAGACCTGAAAATAGTCATAAATTAAGCTTTGTCCGTTGTGGAGATGCAAACTTTTATTCAGACAACGGGGAAGACTCCAAGGCTCTTTTCAGTCAGGTGCTATGACACAATCATTCACAAGGTAAATGTCTGCTCTTGAAACTCTACAGTCATTATCAGAAACAGAAAAAACAAATAAAATAAATAGAACTGGTCAACAATCAGACAGCTTAAAGTGAGTTGCATGCAGCTTGTCTATACCTTCTTCCTGGCAGACCAAAGATGCTGCAGTGATGTAACTTTAAAACAATCCTTACTCAGGCTGACAGAGCCCAGAGCTGACAGGACACAGCCTGAACTCCGTGTCCAAGATGGCACAAATCCGAGAAGGCATTTATCCACGGAAGAGCTGGTGCCAAAGGGACAGAGCACTGCTATCTTTTACAGCCCTCCATGCTGGTATGTGGGGAGGGCAGAGGGGGAAAGGATGGGGGAGTCAGCAATTAAGCCCTGTCATTTAAGACAGATAGTCTAGGTGGAGGGAGTTAATCTGCTCTTGGGTTTTTGAACTAAGTGTCTGTGTATTTATAATTTGTAAACAGTTCATCTCTTCGAGGGTGTGTTACAATTCCCAGAAGCACGGTCTGTTATGTCTAACAGGCAGCAGAACCCAGAAGGGCTCTGTGTGCAAGTATTTTGATACAGCAGGATGACAGGAAACAGAAACAGTGACCTCGTACACCACAAGCCAACTAGCAGATTTCAACTTTGGGAGCTCTTGTATTAGGGAGGGAAAAAAAATACACAGACTTCTTTTTAAAGTAGACTTGTCTGTTTAAATGTTGACATTGCCATGAGATAGTGTCATAAAATTACATTTTTCTTGCACTCCCCAGAGAGCACTGGCCACCCTCAGACTGGGAAAAGTGTCTTAGAATATACTTAATGTAATTAAAGATGTACCTAATGTATTTAAAGATGCAAGTCATGGGAGTGCAAGTGTGGCCCTTCACTGCTGCACGGGGGTGCACACAAGGCACAGTAAAGACATTAAGGCAATTCTGCACAGCACTGGCCATGGGACAAATGTAGGGGCTGGCAATTGTCTCTTCTGGCAACTCTGTGCCGGAATTCCATCCATAACAACTGTAATGCTGGGATGTAAAGTGTTATCTTCATGAGAAAGCCTGCTGGGGGTATCTGCTGTGAGAGGCTTTAGCCAGTGCTACCAGCTCTCTGCGCCAGAGAGTCCTGGAGTGTGTGTGGAATGGAGACAGAGGCAGCTCCCACTACAACATGGTAGGGCCAAACCATCAGCACCTCAACATTGACTCCCAGGAGTTTCACCAAACCTGCACACTTTGTTAAAATAAACCAAGAAAGGGAATGACAGTGAAGCTGTCTGGGGGGAGACAAAAACCCAAAGTCATTAAATCCATATTGAAGTGACCCAGTTGTATTTGTACAGAGAGAACCAAAGTCAGTGGAGTTAAATGTAGGGTAAATGTGACCTAGAATATCTTAGCAGCAATGAATCTATTGCACACCCCAGGAAACAGAGGATTTGATACCTATTTAGTACATTCTTACTCTCTTTTCCCACCTCAGCACTTGCAAGGGCAAAACAGGAATATTAAAATAGAAAAAAATCAAATGGGATTGTTCCAGGGAATAAGTTACACCTTTAGGCATCACACAAATAATATTTACAAATGTCTAGAACCAGGTACTCACTAAACAGAAATTATTGACTTCTACAGATACACAGTTTTCTTTTGAAAAAGATGCAACTTTCATTTAGCTACTTTTGATGAGTTTCAGATATTGGTCCATTCAGTTGATGAATTTTACTATACAAAGAGTAAATTATGAATGAGAACATTTAAACAACTACTGTGTGTTGCAAGAAACCTGTAATTCAACTGGATTGCCTAAACTTCACTTTATAACTTTGACGGATTTCTGGTTGCTCATTAAAATATAAGCACAGCAGAAGAGCAAGTAAAATTTAAATAACTATTCCCATCAATTAGTCTGCTGAGCTTCAATCCTGGGATCTGTGACTGAGAAGAGTTAAGGTGCATTTGCTAGCTGCATTAGTGATTTGCTTCTTAATGATCAACAAATTTCACTGTAGCATTTTTAAAACATAGAATATTCAAGAAGAGTCTTATTAACTTAGTATGCAATTTGAAAGTTTCACATCCCCTCATGAACATTTTCTTCCTAACAGCTAATGTTCCTTTGCATGCTGTTGCTCGTTAAATAATTCCTCACCTTTTAGCTTTAAAGTATTTATAGATTATCAGATCCTCCTTCACTTACTTATGTTTTTTCAAGCTGTATACATTAAGTTCTCTTAATCTTTCTTCGTATGTCATGCCCTCTAATCCTTTTATCATTTGTCACTGTGGTTTGATAAACTTGGAAAAAAATCCAATGAATTTTTCACAGTGAGAAGAATGAGTAAGTATGTTCCAATAAAATAAAAATCAGGCCTTGCCAATTCCAATTCTTTCCACATTTCAGCTGCTGAACTAAAACTGTTTTTTTTCCAAGGCTCTGAAAGAAATGTTGAGAAAATTCTAACCAGCCCTCCACAAATCACACCAGTTCTGGCCTACTGAAGTGGAAATGCCAAATCGTTTGGGGAAAGCCATTAGTAGGGAATGTCAACCAGCACTCAGAAGGGCAGTGAGGGGGGATTGCACATCCCTGTGTACATCTTTGCACCTCCTCCACCACACACACCCCTGCAGGAGCAATTCATGAGCGTGTGCCCACTGCAGGGCCAGGCACAGCCTGGGGCTGCTCAGAGTCACTTCTTGTTCAGGTCTCGCACAGGTACCACCCCTCTGGGATGTTACACAAACCAACTCCTTCCTACTTTCAAATCTGCCAAGCGGCAAACTGCTGACAACCGTTTTCCCAGTTAATACAGATAATAACTGAAAGATTTATGGAGAGATTATTTGTTTGTGTTCTCCCACCTACCCTGTGATTCTAGCCAACATAACCGTGAGATATGCTTACCTTATCATCTTCATCCTCGTCTTCATCCAAGCCCATAAGCTCCTGCAGAAGCAGATGTCCAAATTACAAAACACAACACTTATTTTTTTTAGTGACAGGCAATGTTCAAAAAGCTTATGATACTCCCACAAAGTTTCACTATACAATTTTCTCCCACTTCTATTGAAAGTCATTAAAAAACCCCACCACTTTCTCCTTTCCAAAGCAGTGTTTTATATTCAAGGACCTTTCTTTTTTGTGGCATTCTGAACAAAGCATGCAATACCCTATACAAATTTTAAGTCTAAATAAAGCATTAGTGGCTGTGTCCAGTAATCTGAAGGCAACAGGCTTTCAAACACATTGCCAACTTTTACTATCTGTAAACAGCTTTGTTCTCAGTCTTGCAAATGAACCAACTGGTATGTCAAGGCTGAGGACTCTATACTCAACTTGTTCCATCCCCACTGCCACAATGACTGCTCCCTCCCTTTAGGGCCATTACTGAACATTAGACTTTAGAAAACACATTAGTATGAACATAATCAATCTCACATAGAATCCCAGTCAGATTTCTATGCAGCATTATTTCCTCCCTTTAACTTCTGTGCTGACAGGTAGGACAGAAAACAAAAGACTTGGCAAAGGCTTCGAATTAGGAGCACTTGGCTTTCAATTCAGGTATTTAATAAGCTGAGCCTTTAACAGGGTCCCCCAGTTTTTTCCTTGGTTATTTAATAGCTACATTTGAATCTGTGAACTACAAGTTTAAATACAGCAAACATGCAAAGAATGTGAAGAATCACAATAAAAAGATGTTTTGAATTTAGGGTTTTCTGAGGGGGTTGGGTGTTTCTCTTTTGGGGTTTTTTAATTTCTTTCTTTTTTCTTTTTCCCTGAATAGCAGCTTCATCTAGGATGTAAAAGGTACTGAGAGTTCAGATAGCCAGATTTATTCTTTGGCTCTTTGGAATACCCTGAGCAGTTGAATTAACACTGATCATGGTTTAAATTTCTATAGAAGCTCCCCATCTGTAAATCATAAAACATTTTACCAATATTCACGAATTTAGCCTCCTGGCAAGTGGATCAGGAGTACAAGGTTAATACTGTTATTCACATTTTATAGCACAGAAATCAGAGAGAATTTGAGGTTCACTTTTGCAAAGCCTCTTGCTTGCATTCCTCTGTATACACAAAATGTGTGTGCTGGCACACAAAAACCAAAGGCAGTGAATATCCAGCCAAGGCCTGAAGAAGCAAAAAACAAATAAATGACTGTGTAAAAAGCATTGGTATTTTGAAGAAAACCTTTTCTCATCTGCAGGACAGATGTGACTGGGGCCAGCACCTGATTGTCTATTTTTGACCTACAGATGGTTAGAATCACAGACACACATAAAAAAGGAATCAGGTAATATTAAAGGCACTTTGACTACTTGTTCCATATGATCCCAATCCTGCAAAGCACTCTGGCAGACGTGTGATTTTGCTTATGCAAAATGCACCCCTGAATTTCATGGCACGGCACTGCTTACAGAATGTGTGACAGGAAAAGAGCCAAATTCTTGATGGACCTTTCTTTAGTATTACCACAATTAACTGTATTTTTGGAAATAGCCTTTTTGCTGTGTCCATCTAAATGACGCTCTGCTCAATTTTTCTGTCTCATTTGAGACTCTCCTCACCTGAACATGCAACAACTCACCACAGGAAGAGGGAAGAGGCTGGAAGGCACTCTCTGTGTATTTTTTTTTTCTGGGTAGGTTATTATTGTTATTTTTTATTGCCTTTTGTATTAAAAACAAAAACATCTGTTTGCCTGGGATTCTCCCACATGGGAAGTTTTGCTTTTCTTGATGAAATCAAGTAGTCACTGAAGACACACAGTATCTTTCTGCATTATTCTGGACTTGGCTGAAACTGAAGAAAGGCATTTCTTTTACCATGTTTTCAAATTAAGCCTCCCCTGGTCTGGATAATGCAACTTCTCCTCTTTTCTAAGAATCTTTCCACTTGGGAGTGGATGAAAACTAAACCAGGAGCAAATTTTAACACTAAAACTAATAAACCTGACATTGACTTTTTAAATTCTGGGATATTATGCCTTTGTGTAAAATCCACTTGACTCATTTAGGTAAAGGTATTCTTCATGGTTACCAACGTCAATCATCTTTTAATCAAAAGTTAGAAGAAAGCTATCCTTTGATTTCCATTTCATTACTGTATTTATTTCACTTTTAAAAACCGAATATTATGGATATTCATGAATTTACTCTCCTTTCTAGCTCTAATTGCCATTGTTAAAGACAATGGTCAATATCAAACAATCATTTCATACCCCAACAGTAGAACTTTGTCACACTTGGTGATTATTTCTGTGTTTAAACCTTTCTTTCTCCCAAGTTACAACCCAAAGCCTGAATTTCTGGGGGGAAAAAAAACCCCATTTGTCTTTTAAGAGCTGAGGATGGGAAAGAGGAATAAAAGCTTCTTAAGACCTCAGATCACAGGACAAGGCTTAAAAGAACTACATTCTCTTTTGGATTCTATTGACTTTCCTCTTCTGTGAAACATGAATCATTAGTGTGTTGCAGAGTGCAATGGCAGGAGGAGAATGGCTTTTAGGAACTTGCTGCTTTGCAAATCTTTTTTAATTCTACTTAAAAACATTTGTAGTTATTTAGTAAGTGAAATCCACCTCCTACACACTCTCATCTTCTTCTCCTATTACTCTGAATGGTTTATTGCTTTAATTGAATAATGAAAATTGAGAGGGTTGAGGTTTCTTTTCAGTAACTTTGAAACAAAAGTGTTGTTTAACTACACAACCAACTTAATGCCATTAGAACAAGTGACACTTTGCTTGGGGCGAACTGGGGCTGCCAGAAATGTTACTCTACTTGCCACTCTACTTGCCTGGGCATCCTGGGCATTGTTGACCTTCCCTGTTGTGACGAGGGAGAAATTGTATGCAAAGAGCACCAGCAAAGCCAGGGGCACCATGTACAGCTCCACGGTCCAGACGGTGACCACAAACACCTGGGAGAACACGGACAAGTGTGGAAAGAGAAAGACACCTAAGAAAGGCTGTCAGTCATTATCACTGTGCACATTCATCCTTGAATCTCTGCTAACCCCACCCAGGTTATTATTATTTTGGCAAAGAAATCTGCTCCCTCTGGTCTCTGTGAGGCTGCTGCTCGTTGGCTTCTCCTCCCCTGTACCTGGGGAAGAAGAAGCCATGAACATGAGGCCAGCCCAAGGCTTCTCCACTCCTTCCTGGGATCCCTCCAGCCTGGAAGCCTTTTGTCCTTAGTGCTGATGTACAACAGATGCCCTTAGAGAGGTAAACCTGCTCCACTCTTCAAGCTCTAACTGCCAGGGGGTCTTTCCCAGGCGAGGGAAGAGCATTTTCCTCTTGTGCAACAGGAGCCACAGAGCTCCCTTGTCACTCCACAGATGATCAGCAAATTCATCTTCACCATCAATCCACCCATACTCTTGGCACAGCAGCACACAGAAAGGACTCTCACCTTGCAGGAGGCAAGGCCTCAGGCTGCACCTGATTCATTGTTTTGGAAAGGGCTGCAGTTAGCCTAGTCTCCATTCTCATACTCTTGCTGTTTTTCAGCACAGCATATTGAGATTTCACTGGTTCTTTGGAGTCTCTTTTCCTAAAAACCAGTATGAGTCTGTGTGTTTGGACTGGCATCTGACAAAACCCACCAGAAGCAAAACCAGAAGCCAAACTGGAACTGCAAAACACACAAATAATATGATGGGGATCTAAAAAGCACATAGGATTTTTCAAAAAAACCTGCATCAAGCCAAACTGCAATCCTATCTCACAAGTACCAACAACATCTGAACGGACTGCAAACTTGGAGGGGTTGGCAATGCAAAGTTAATAAACTAAATCCAGAACTGCCATAAAATGTATGTTGTGATCCCATTTCCTTTTCTACTCAACACAGTGTTTCCAGAAGAACTGCCTAATGCTGATAGCAACTTGAAGCTATTTTAAGCAATCTCCTTCAAAGACAAGGCACAAACACATTTTTCTGATTTTTCTTACCCCAAAAGAAACTGGCTTGATCAGAAACAACAATCACATTTTTAGAATAATACAGGTAAATGAAAATGAGTCAGATCCAGTAAAAGTATCTCAAACAACAACAAAGGGAAAATTCTATGGGTGAAGAGGAAACTAAATCTCTACCTCCCCTCATCCTCAGCTTGCCAAATACTACATATAAAGACAATGCTGGCAGTTGTAGAATGGGATATTTATGGCAATGTATTTTGTGTTATGGACCTGAAAGTTTAACCACACTGTACCAAAGAAACACTTCCCATTGCATTCAGCAGTGTGAGAAGTTACACCCCCACAAGACAGCAGCTGCTTTAACTTTTTTAACAAAAAGACTTGTCTGACATCAGACAAATGGCCAGTTAATACCTACCATGGGCCAAACATAAACCAAGAAACAATGCCTGTATCCATAACCTTGCCCAAACAGCACTTGCATTTTCTGGAGTGCACCTGATTTCATGTTAGCTGTTGCTATGCAAGGAATTCGACTGTCATCCTATTCTTGGCATTTGTTGGCCTGTAAAGCAATCTTCAAGATATATTCATTTATAAAATGGGCTGACATCCAGGAAATATATCCCCATGCTATTGATTTGCAGCACAGGAATGTGGAAGACGATTTGGTTTTGGTGGGTTTTTTTTTCCCCCTTTTTTGATCCTGTTGTTCAACATACTAAAAAATTAGAAGTGATAATGATTCACACAGCCACATTTCATATGTAAGCAAGGCAACAGAAACACGTGAATCCAGGCCAAGAATTGGTATTGGATTTGTCTTATAGAAGCTTTGCATAACTTTAGCTAATAAAACCTTCAATAGTTTTGATATTCCCAGCTCAAACATCCCCCATAAATTAAAATTCTAACCTGAACAAGTTCCTCTGAAGCTATTCCAGCTCCCTTGGATGAATATATGCTTGTCTTTTAAGACAAAGTGAAGGTGATAACAGCTTCTGTCCTACCCTAAATGTTACCTCAAAGAACAAGGACCTGTTATTGCACATATTTCCACAGGCATCTTAGGCACACATAGATTTTAAAAAAAGACATACATATAAACATACATCGGATCCTTCCGTAAACTCCATTCATAGAAATTCCTATTTCCAGATATTAATTCAAAACATTTGCTTCAGCCCAGGGGAGGGTGTTGCATTTGCACCACCTCCCTGGGGTACGAGCAAACTCAGCCTTCCCTGGATGCAGCAAAAAGACCCCACCAGCAGCCAGCCAGGCAAAGTCCTCAAGGAGTCAATAAAGCTCTTGAAGAACCTCTCTTCATTCACTCAGTTGCAGGACTTGACCCAATTTTAGTGCATCTGTCACCATCCCATGTGAACATCACCCTGCTCGGCTGCAAGTGCAACACAACCTTGCAATCTCAGGTCATTCAGGCAAGCTACGAAGTCAAGACCTTGGTGATTTTAGATCTTACAGTACATTTTGTGTATTATTAAGTTTCAGACCTCAAATAAAACTTCATTACAAAATCTCACTGTAGGCTCAATGGGTAGCTGAGGCATGCTGTCTCCTCCTTTCTAATGCTGACTGGTTTAATCAGCTGCTGAGTTATAACTCAGACAGTGAAGCTTTGATAGAGCTCCCACATCTCCTTAACAAGAGCTGCTTTGCTGCTATTGCCACAGTACAGGGAACTTTCATTACTGTGACACGACACAGACACAAGACAAATTGATTTAGCTATTCAGAAATTATTTAGCCTCGGAGGTATGGGAAATGATTGCTGTGAACATACAGTACATAATAAAAGTTCAGAGTGTGTTTATAGAGTGAATAGAAATATTTCTGCTGTTCTAACAGCCTTTTGAGTATTTCTGCAGCACCAGTTTTCAAAGCAGATCCCAAGCAGTCATCAAATGTCCTATTTTATCAACTTTCAGGGAGCTCCCTGACACTGACCACAGCACCAGCAGCCCGGTGACACAGATACCCACTCCCCAAATGACAAGGTCCTCAATCATGCATGTTTTTACTCTCTCCTCAGTGACACTTTATGTCTGGGAGAAGTTCTTGAATTATGCTCCCTTAATTATTTTCTTATCAATATTTTTATGGCAAAACTCAAGAATGCTTCAGCTGCTGATGTAAATAACAGCTAATGCAAGGAAGGGTATCATCTTGATTTCTTGTAATCTCCAGTCTGTTTTTGCCTAATGCATAAACTAGAAAGAGAATCCATTAACAGGTTCAGATCACTTTCCCAGTACCACAGAAGTCAGGGACACAAACCATGGCCCTGCTTCAAATGATCCAGGTTCAACAAACCATTCCTTTCTTCAGTGTTTCTTGTTGTTAGACCAAGTTCTGTCAGACACAATCCATTACATTAATTGATACTTTTTCTGCTGGGCTTCACAGTGTTCGTGGGAGAAGCTGAAAGCACAGCAGCCAATTTCTAAACTAAGAGTTAAAGTAGCAGAAGCGAGCTTTCTACACTACTCCTTTTAATGCAATTTGAGAGTATAAAAGCCTATTATAGAAGTGAGCACTTTAATTCACAGCATTCTAAAACAATGATCAAAATAGAAACAGGAATGGGATAGACCTATCTTGAGGGAAAGAAAAAAAAAATAAAAGAGCTCTTGAAACTAATATTTAGACTAGAGCTCTACCTAAAAGACAACAGCAATATCACAGCCTTGGAGAAAGGACCACTTGATTTCAGCTGATTAATGTGTTGCTATTTCAAAGGGCTTAATAACTACAAGTTAAAGCTCTGGAGGTTTGGGAGCCGTTTCATCTGAAAATCATTGAAGAGGGGTCCAACTGTTCCTGTCAAGAAGCATGGAGTTTGAACAACCATGAGAGTGGCCCTTTTGACAGCAGCACAAAAGATGAGAGAAGGCAGTCTCAACTGAAAGTAAAAACAAACCCTTAGAAACACGTTTCAAATCTGGTTTTTCTGCTGCTCTGGTTCCAATTTAGCATCTGACTATTAAGACCAGATTTTAGACGGGTGTCTACTAAAATATGCCCATAAAACATTTGTCACCAGCAAACCCACAGTCATGGGATAGAACAGTTTTAAGAGGCTTAGAAACCTAGCACAAGATAGGATTTTCTGCGTGATTTTTCTACACAATAATTACAATTTTTCTAACTGTAAGATTAACAGGCTCTTTTTGACCTGGCAAGCCTTTGTGGTGCAGTGAGGGATGCTCTGTTTTGTGACAGAATAACTCTTGGACAACATCAGTGATGGGAGGAGAGTGATACATTCCCTCAGATGGAAGAAATAAAAGTGAAAGGAGATTAAATGCATGCGAGGAACCTATGGTATAAAGTTATTTTTTTGGTCAGTGCAGGCTCCAATGCTAATGAAATGCCTCATCAGCAGAGCTGTGAAAAATATTGTTTGAAACTCCAAGTCTCAAAACCCACAATTTAACTGAACTCTAAACTTCTAACAGCTTCATCAAAAGTTTCCTTGTGATTTATAAACACGTTCTGTGTAACTTGTGAAGGCATGAGAAAAACTTGGGCTGATACTGTTGTGAACGTCCAAGTCTGGTTTTGAACTAAACTACACTAAACCAGATCAGTGAATTTGATTTGAAACAGAAAGACGTGCTCCCCCTTATTTACAGGGGAGAGGAATTCTGTATTTTTAACTTATTTCTGGGCTACACACTTTCAAGTTGCCATGTATGCACAAATGAACACCTTAAAAAAATGAGAAATTTTTGCGAATAAATATTCAGGGACAAATTCTCTATTTTTGGGGTTTCTAGGCCTTCAGCCCCTCTGCTCCAAACAAAATACAGGATATAAGCCAATAACATAAGATACTGGCTCCCCAAAAGGGCACTCGAATCCCTTGGAGGCAATAAGTCTGTCGACAACAAATTATTTCTGACAGATACTTATTCCTGCCCTTAGACATAGAGAATACAAGAGTAGAGGAGAGAATGAACCCACTCACAGA